CACGGATTGCTGTCGAGGTCAGCCCATTCCGGGGGAGTCGAAACCAGCCTGAGCAAGAGCGAGACCCGTCTCTATATAAATAGAAAGAAATTAATTGGCCAACTAATATATATAGAAAAAAATTAACCGGGCATGGTGGCGCATGCCTGTAGTCCCAGCTACTTGGGGAGGCTGAGGCAGGAGGGATTGCTTGAGCCCAGGGAGTTGGAGGTTGTGGATAAGGCTGACGCGCACAGCACTCACTCTAGCCTGGGCAACAGAAGTGAGACATGTCTCAAAAAAAAAAACCTGAATACAGCTGTGAAATGTTGACAATAAATATTTTCCGATAAATGACATATACAAAGGATCTTTATTTGTGTGTGTTCTCCTATAGTTTTCAAATTTTGTCTAGTAGATATTTATTATTTTTATATTTTTAATAAACCATGGCCCAGGTGCGGTGGCTCACAATGGTAATCCTAGCACTCTGGGAGGCCGAGGTGGGAGGATGGCTCGAGGTCAGGAGTTCGAGACCAGCCTGAGCAAGAGCGAGACCCTGTCTCTAAAAATAAAAATAAAGAAATAAAGAGGCCGGGCACAGTGGCTTACATCTCTCATCCTAGCACCCTGGGAGGCCGAGGCGGGAGGATCGCTCAAGGTCAGGAGTTCGAAACCAGACTGAGCAAGAACGAGAGTCTCTCTCTACTAAAATAGAAAGAATTGGCAACTAAGTGATATACAGAAAATTAGCCGGGCATGTGGGGCGCATGCCTGTAGTCCAGCTACTGGGGAGCTGAGGGCAGGAGGATCGCTTGAGCCCAGGAGTCTGAGGTTGCTGTGAGCTAGGCTGACGCCACGGCACTCACTCTAGCCCTGGGCAACAAAGCGAGACTCTGTTTCAAAAAAGAAAAGAAAGGAAGAAAGAAAGGAAAGAAAAGAAGAAAGGAAAGAAAAAGAAGAAAGAAGAAAGAGAAGAAGAGAAGAAAGAAAGAAAGAAAGAAGAAAGAAAGAAAGAAAGAAAGAAGAAAGAAAGAAAGAAAGAGAAGAAAAAAGATAACTTAGTACGACGAACAGGAGAGACACCGCAGGACCCGTGGGCTCACCGGGCACATAGATGTAGATGTGTCTGCCCTCGAGCTCGCTCTCTTCCGTCTGCGTGTGGTTGTAGTAGCAAGTGTACCAGCCCGTGTGGGCTGCCGAGGCGCTGGCCACTTCCAGGACCGTCACAAAGAGGCCACTGTTGTTCTCCTCGTTTCTGATGTCCACGTTGGGGTTGTCGTCTTCAGACATGGGGTACTGCCAGCTCAGTTCGCTCTCCCCAAAGCATCTCAGAGAAAAGGACGAATTCAGCTGCACGACCTTTTCATTTTCGTTTGGAAGCATAGAGGGGACTGAAAGCTGGCAGAGGATGAGGCCGGGCCCTGGAAGAGGAAACACGCTGTGAATGGGACGCAGCCAGGGAGGGCGCGCTGGCCCGGGGGGACAGAGAGAGGCCACAGTGGCAGCTTATATGAACAACGGGCATTTCTGCGCAAAAATCCGTTAGTTGGACGCCCATGAAAGGCGCCCACTATGTTCTCCGCGCAGCAATCCTCGTGCCTTGGCCTCCCAGAGTGCTAGGATTACAGGCATGAGCCACTGTGCCCAGCCAACAGAGATCTTTTAATAGCAATAATGGAGACTTAGGGGCCATTTCTGCAGCTAATGCTTTTTTTTTTTTTTTACCATAGTAGCTTAAGTAGCTGGTTTTCTTTTGGAAAGGAAATTTCAGGCTATGGAATTATAAATTTTACGTATTACTCAAGGGATTACTCTTTCATAAATAAATTTCTATTTTATTTCTCAATAGTACTGACTATAGGTGATAGGAGTTTTTAAAAAGCATTCTATAATTTAAAAATTAAGAGTATTTTTTCTTGTTTTGAACAGAGTTGGACTATAGCATCTTATTGGCTACTGTTGGTTTTAGTGGTTGCTTAAATTTGATCTAGATTACTGGCTAGTATTTACATTTATCGTTAGCATTTGTTGTTAGGGTGCACGCAACTTGATATTATTCATATTTCAAAGTCACCTTCTAGCCATCACAATGATTAGTGTCGGTGGGGCGAATCTTCTGGATATTTGTGTAAAGGTACAATTCGTACCTAGTAAGAATAATGCCAGTGGGGTGGCGTTTCTGGATTATATGTGTGAAGATGAGAGCAATGCCTAACAGAGTCTTCTTTCTTTTTGTAAACCACAGACCCGGATGTAGCCTTTGTGCCTCTCGGAATGACAGATTATTTGGTCATCGTGGAGGATGACGAGTCCGCCATCATTCCGTGTCGCACGACCGACCCTGAGACGCCCGTGACCTTACATAACAGTGACGGGGTGGTCCCCGCCTTCTATGACAGCAGGCAGGGCTTTAATGGGACCTTCTCTGTCGGGCCCTATATCTGCGAGGCCACTGTCAAAGGAAAGACCTTCCAGACCATACCATTTAATGTTTATGCTTTAAAAGGTACTTGTGCCCTCTCTCCTTTAAATCAGAGTGACAGGCAAAATCATCAGATGCGTGTAGGATTTTTTTTCCCCCCCGCAATCACCATCCCTGGTGTTAGAGACCAGAAATTCCGATTTGGGGATTTAGGGCCCCGCCTAATACGATGTCAGGCTGACCTCTATGGCTATAATAATACTAAGCTTAGAGTCACCAAAGGCTAAAGCTTGCCTACCCCTGCTCTTTACTCCTTCTTTGTGAGTTAGAATCTGCATCATCCGCCTTTGGCCCTGGAAGTCACCAGGGAGGGTCAGCACTCCGGGGGCTGTTAGGAAATGGAAGGTACGTAATTCTTGAGCACAGATCTGCTTTGGGCTGTGTTCAGCCTATTCCCCGCCTCTGTTCTCATCCCGTTTTTTTTTTTTTTTTGAGACAGAGTCTTGTTCTGTTGCCAGGGCTAGAGTGCCATGGTGTCAGCCTAGCTCACAGCAACCTCAAACTCCTGGGCTCAAACGATCCTCCTGCCTCAGCCTCCCCAGTAGCTGGGACTACAGGCATGCGCCACCATGCCCGGCTAATTTTTTCTATATATTTTTAGTTGACCAATTAATTTCTTTCTTTTTTTTTTTTTTTAGTAGAGATGAGGTCTCACTCTTGCTCAGGTTGGTCTCAAACTCCTGACCTTGAGCGATCCTCCCACCTCCGCCTCCCAGAGTGCTAGGATTACAGGCCTGAGCCACCGCGCCCGGCCGGAAGATATATAATTCTTGGGCTGTGCTCAGCCTATCTTCCTGCCTCTCTTCTCATCCCAGTTTGTTTTTTTTTTTGAACTCAGGGAAACACAGTAAACAGCCCTATGTGTTTGCATGTATGCCCTCTTGGAATATTTTGTGGTCACACATAAGAGTCTGAAATATGGAATTGGAATCAGGCTCCTCGATCCATTGGAGTGTTTGGAGGGGTGGATCTAGGGGGGCTTGGGGGGCTATTGAGGCTCTTGGAACATTTGCTGCTCTCAGCAGATGCAGGGGCCGTTATAAGTGGGCGCCTTTCATGGGCGTCCAAGCTAACGGATTTTTGCGCAGAAATGCCCGTTGTTCATATAAGCTGCCACTGTGGCCTCTCTCTGTCCCCCCGGGCCAGCGCGCCCTCCCTGGCTGCGTCCCATTCACAGCGTGTTTCCTCTTCCAGGGCCCGGCCTCATCCTCTGCCAGCTTTCAGTCCCCTCTATGCTTCCAAACGAAAATGAAAAGGTCGTGCAGCTGAATTCGTCCTTTTCTCTGAGATGCTTTGGGGAGAGCGAACTGAGCTGGCAGTACCCCATGTCTGAAGACGACAACCCCAACGTGGACATCAGAAACGAGGAGAACAACAGTGGCCTCTTTGTGACGGTCCTGGTGGCCAGCCTCGGCAGCCACACCGGGCTGGTACACTTGCTACTACAACCACACGCAGACGGAAGAGAGCGAGCTCGAGGGCAGACACATCTACATCTATGTGCCCGGTGAGCCCACGGGTCCTGCGGTGTCTCTCCTGTTCGTCGTACTAAGTTTCTTTCTTTCTTTCTTCTTCTTCTTCTTTCTCTTTCTTTTTCTTTCTTTCTTTCTTTCTTCTTCTCTTCTTTCTCTTTCTTCTTTCTTCCTTCTTTCTTTCCTTTCTTTCTTCTTTCTTTCTTTCCTTTCTTTCTTTTTTGAAACAGAGTCTCGCTTTGTTGCCCAGGGCTGAAGTTGAGTGCCGTGGCGTCAGCCTAGCTCACAGCAACCTCAGACTCCTGGGCTCAAGCGATCCTCCTGCCTCAGCTCCCCAGTAGCTGGGACTACAGGCATGCGCCACCATGCCCGGCTCATTTTTCTGTATATCATTAGTTGGCCAATTTCTTTCTATTTTTAGTAGAGAGAGACTCTCGTTCTTGCTCAGTCTGGTTTCGAACTCCTGACCTTGAGCGATCCTCCCGCCTCGGCCTCCCAGAGTGCTAGGATGACAGATGTAAGCCACTGTGCCCGGCCTCTTTATTTTTTTAATTTTATTTTTAGAGACAGGGTCTCGCTCTTGCTCAGGCTGGTTTCGAACTCCTGATCCGAGCAATCCACCCACCTCGCCTCCCAGAGTGCTAGATTACCGTTGTGAGCCACCGCACCTGGGCCATGGTTATTAAAAATATAAAATAATAATAATCTACTAGAGAAAATTGAAAACTATAGGAGAACATACACAAATAAGATCCTTTGTAATGTCATTATCGAAAATATTTATTGTCAACATTTCACAGCTGTATTCAGTGTTTTTTTTTTTGAGACAGTCTCACTCTGTTGCCAGGCTAGAGTGAGTGCTGTGGCGTCAGCCTAGCTCACAGCAACCTCCAACTCCTGGGCTCAAGCAATCCTCCTGCCTCAGCCTCCCCAGTAGCTGGGACTACAGGCATGCGCCACCATGCCCGGTTAATTTTTTTCTATATATTTAGTTGGCCAATTAATTTCTTTCTATTTATAGTAGAGACGGGGTCTCGCTCTTGCTCAGGCTGGTTTCGAACTCCTGGACCTCGAGCGGGGTAGGGCTTCTATTGAGCACATGCTTAGAAATCCTGCTGGGGCTTATTTCATGGGTAGGGCTTATTTTTGGGGAAACACGTATTTGGCTGGGGCCAGGAGTGTGCTTGTAGTCCCAGCTACTGGGTCAGTTGAGACAGGATAGCTTGAGGCCGGAGTTAGAGGCTGCCTCGGGCTGCGATCGTGCTTGTGAGTACCCACTGCATTCCAGTCTGGACAACATAAAAAAAAAAAAAGTTCAAAGGGAGTAAATAGAAAATTCTTGCCCAGGAAATCATTCCTTTCTTAACAAAAGATGCTTACATGGCTTCACAATGTCAGATTTACCTTTCTCTTTGAATCCAGTTGGTAGGTGAATGCTTGGCTCTCGGGAAATCTTATTCACTCTTTCTTTTCCACCAGGAGTATGGCACTGGGGCCGTCTGTTGACTTTATTGGAGTTTCTTAGTTTCCATCCACTTATTTATGAGTTGCAGGTGTTCACCGTGAAACACAGCGCTTCTCTAGCGTGAGGAGTTAACTCAGCCTGTTAGTGTCCTTAATTTGAGTCTTATCCATTTGAGTATGGTGGAATTGAGCAAGACCAGAGATTTCGTGGTTCTAAGCTGCCCCAAGCATACCCCAACCGCAGGGCAAGAGGGGATCCAGATGCATTTACAACTCCTGTCTCAACAAGCTTCAGGAATCATGATTATGTACTGAAATTGAGCAGGATTCCCCTATCAGGCTCCCAGGGAGGTTAGAGACCATTAATTAATAATTAATGAGGTCATTGTGGCGGTTCTATCCATTTTAGAGACAAGGGAAGCTAGACTAAAATTGGAGGCTCTGAGATGAACTTAGAGTTTTCACTCTTGGGCTTTACTCCTTCTTTGTGAGTTAGAATCTGCATCATCCGCCTTTGGCCCTGGAAGTCACCAGGGAGGGTCAGCACTCCGGGGGCTGTTAGGAAATGGAAGGTACGTAATTCTTGAGCACAGATCTGCTTTGGGCTGTGTTCAGCCTATTCCCTGCCTCTGTTCTCATCCCGTTTTTTTTTTTTTTTTTTTTGAGACGAGCTCTGTTCTGTTGCCAGGGCTAGAGTGCCGTGGTGTCAGCCTAGCTCACAGCAACCTCAAACTTCCTGGGCTCAAACGATCCTCCTCGCCTCCCCAGTAGCTGGGACTACAGGCATGCGCCACCATGCCCGGCTAATTTTTTCTATATATTTTTAGTTGACCAATTAATTTCTTTCTATTTTTTTTTTTTTTTAGTAGAGATGAGGTCTCACTCTTGTTCAGGTTGGTCTCAAACTCCTGACCTTGAGCTATCCTCCCACCTCCGCCTCCCAGAGTGCTAGGATTACAGGCCTGAGCCACCGCGCCCGGACGGAAGATATATAATTCTTGGGCTGTGCTCAGCCTATCTTCCTGCCTCTCTTCATCCCAGTTTGTTTTTTTTTTTGAACTCAGGGAAACACAGTAAACAGCCCTATGTGTTTGCATGTATGCCCTCTTGGAATATTTTGTGGTCACACATAAGAGTCTGAAATATGGAATTGGAATCGGGCTCCTCGATCCATTGGAGTGTTTGGAGGGGTGGATCTAGGGGGGCTTGGGGGGCTATTGAGGCTCTTGGAACATTTGCTGCTCTCAGCAGATGCAGGGGCCGTTATAAGTGGGCGCCTTTCATGGGCGTCCAAGCTAACGGATTTTTGCGCAGAAATGCCCGTTGTTCATATAAGCTGCCACTGTGGCCTCTCTCTGTCCCCCCGGGCCAGCGCGCCCTCCCTGGCTGCGTCCCATTCCACAGCGTGTTTCCTCTTCCAGGCCCGCCTCATCCTCTGCCAGCTTTCAGTCCCCTCTATGCTTCCAAACGAAAATGAAAGGTGTGCAGCTGAATTCGCTCCTTTCTCTGAGATGCTTTGGGAGAGCGAACTGAGCTGGCAGTACCCCATGTCTGAAGACGACAACCCCAACGTGGACATCAGAAACGAGGAGAACAACAGTGGCCTCTTTGTGACGGTCCTGGAAGTGGCCAGCGCCTCGGCAGCCCACACGGGCTGGTACACTTGCTACTACAACCACACGCAGACGGAAGAGAGCGAGCTCGAGGGCAGACACATCTACATCTATGTGCCGGTGGAGCTCTACAACGGGTCTGCGGCCCTGCGGGGTCATCTCCTGTTCGTCGTCTCACACAGTTTGCTTTATATTCTTAATTTTTTTCTTTTTGTTTTTCTTGTGTGAGACAGAGTCTCAGCTTGCTGTCTGGCGCGGGCAGCGCTTAGACGTGATGCCGTGGTGTCAGCATAGCTCACAGCAACCTCACTCTGGCTCGCAAGCATCCTCCTGCTCACCTCCGCCCCGGAGTAGCCGGCTGGATACGGCATGCGCCACATCCGCTACAATTTTCGTATACCATTCATTTGGCCAACTTCTCTTCTATTTGTAGTAAGAGAGCACTCTCGTTCTTCGCTCACGTCTGGTTTCGAACCTCCTGACCTTGAGCGATCCTCCCGCCTCGGCCTCCAGGAGTGCTAGGATGACAGATGTACCAGCTGGCGCCGGCTTTTTCTTTATTTTATTTTTAGAGCAGGGTCTCGCTCTTGCCCTCAGGCTGGTTTCAACCTGATCTCGAGCGACTCGCCACCTCGGCCTCCACGAGCTAGGTTACGCCTGTTCGAGCCACCGCACCTGGGGCATGTTTAC